CGAACTCGTCTCGCACTTCGAGGAACCAGTCGCCCTGGCCCTCCACGCGCTCGCACCCTGTCATCTTCTGTCATTCCCTGCACTGCCCCGCCAACTCCCACCCCCAAAAAAGTTTGCCGCCCGCGGTCCTCAGCGGCACCGGGCGCGCACTTCTTCGCTCAGACACAACGCGGGCGGCGCCTTGATGGGTCGTCCCCGACGGCGGCCCCAGCAGATTGATCTCCGCTGAACAACACGTTCACGTCCCCGAGCGGCCCGTTCACGCCGCCCCACCCGACCTTCGCATTAGCCACTTCCACTGCGCCAGCCCTTCGCGACCACGCATTTTCTCGTCTCCTTCGAGCGCGGGCCCCGATCGCCCCCGGCGGTCTGCTCCTTCGTCGTTGGCCACGCCCATGCCGAATACACTGTGGATCTCGCTGCCGTCGGGAGCTGACGCGTTTGTCGCCTGCAAAATCTGCCACCTGGATATCCACCCATAAGAGGGGCCGCACGTCGGCGCGTCTCGGGCAAATCTTCTTCACCCCCGCAGAAAAATCAGACCCCCGCGACAGGGCAAGATCGGCCACCGTCTCCGCGACGCTACGCCGACCGGCGTCCAGACCGCCACCCACACGCCCGCGCCCCCACCCCCGCAAGCTGGAGGCCGCCGTCTGCATTCCAGCCACCACCCGCGCGGCGCCCTCCGTACCCCCCGCGCCGCTTCCCCGATGAGCTCTCGACGCCACGGCTGCCGCCCGCGCCTCTGCGCTGCCCCTTCGCCTCGGCACGCCGCCCCATTTCTGGGCCCCTTTCGTTTCACGCTGTTCCGACCCATGTCCTCACCCCGCACGACGGCAATCCCGTGCCAGCGCGTCTCGCCCATTCCCTGTTCGCCCACCACTGCTGCGTTTGTCCGTCCGTCACATTCTTCCATCGACGCGCCCACGATGCGCGACGTCCGCACAGAGGCCGCGCCGACCACTAACGGGCCCAACTCTTCGTCGCCGCGCACCTCGCCGTCGCCCTTCAACGACGCCCACGGCGCCCGTGAAGCTCTGGACGCGCCCATTCGTCTCCTCGCACTCCGCGCCCTTCTTCGACCCGTCCACCGACGCCTCCGCCCACGACCCATGCGCTTCGCGTCCACATCCCACGTCTCCTCATCTTAAACGCTTGAAATACGCAACTAGCAGCCCGCTCCTTTCTTGTTCTTCTTCCGCCCCATGCCACGGCTGCGGCGCCCAGCGAAAACTCAGACCCCTCGGGAGCTCGTTCCACGCCAGAAACACGCGTGACTGAAGCTTCCATCTCGGGGTCATCGGGGAACGGCACCCACTCGCCTCGCCCGCCTTCCTACGCCACACAGTCCACTACCGCTACCCACGGCGCGCCGCTTTGCACACCGCCCTCGCCCGTTCGCACCTCCTCGCGACCTCCATCGCGAACATCCCAAACGCCCGACGGCGTCAACGTCGCTGGGCACCCGCCGCCGCCGGCTGCGGACAACCCCCACTCGCTGCGCGGATGGGCCAGGCCGCCAGTTCCACGCGCTAGCATCGCCGAACCCACACAACGATATAATGGTCAGGCGCTCCGGGTTCGCCCACAAGACGCATGCCGCACGAATCGCGAATGCGCGGGGCATCTCGACAAGATTCGAACCCTCTCCGGGCTCTCCCGCCGAACCACCTCCAGCGTTCTGGACATGGCCGCGGGAGCTCCTTCTCCGCGCCCGTGGGGTCGCTCGGCAAGACACGCCACTTCTGCCCCCAGCATCGCAACTGCTTTCGCTGTCTTGACGCTTTCGGCCGCGGCCGCGTCACTGGGGCCCCTGCACGCTCGCGAGCGCGCGCTCTCCTGCGCCGACGCACCACGCCTCTCCACAAATGCCATTGATACTCTTCACGCATCCGCGCTCGATATGCCGCGGCCCTGTCTTTCGCCTGCTCCGCCAGCGCGCGGCGCCCTCCATTGATCTCTCTCACCTCGTCGAAGGACGGGGCGCACTGCTCGCACTGGATCCGCCGCGCACCCCGCCTGCGCATTCTGCGTTGGCTGCGCTGCCAGCACCACGTCCACGGCCTGATCCGCCCCCCAGCAACGCCCCTCGCACACGCAACTGCCGCGCGCGGCCTCTGTGACCAGCATCCTGCACGGAATCTCCAGATCGCCGTTGAAAGTTAACTCCACCGCGACGCTGTTCACGGCAGGCAGGTGCCGCGCACGTTATTATCGTTCATGGGCCCGCGCAGGAAACCTGGCACTTTCCTTCTACCTGCTCGCGTAACGAGCTGTCAGAACACTACCGCCCGATCTATCAGCCACGACGCGCGCGAAAAGAAACTCTCGCATTGCGTCGCGTCGTCCTTCTTCTGGCAGTGTGCCAACGGTGCCATCCGCTGCAGCCGACTCCTCCACTGGCCCACGTGGTTCCGTCTGAACTCCTGCCCCTTTCGAACCCGAACACTCAAGTTCTCACGCAGCCACGCCCAGCCTTCCACGTTCACCTCCGCCTCGCTCCCTGGACCACCCGACGCGCGCGCGGGCATCCTCTCGCCACGCTGAGCCGCGCTCCCCCATCCATCGCCCTGCCACGCTGCACAGGTCGCACCACGGAACAGGTACTCTGGCGCCGCCGCCAGGTGCGTCTGCGGCATGCGGGCCAAGCTTTCTCCACCTCAGTTCGCCTGTTCCTTCGCCCTTTCCCACGGCACCGCACTCCTGACGACATGTGTTCCTCTTGTACGTATTGGGCTCTTCCACTAGTCGTTCCGAAACGCATTTCGGAAACTGCTCCAGCTCGTGCAACGGCGCGCGCTGGTGCCGACACTGAATAAACACTTGCACGCGCAAGTGCAAGCTTCCTGCCAAATCTTGTTTCGATGCCGCCGTAAAGCTCGCCCACGCGATTTCAACAACCGCCCACCGCCATCGCGCTGCTTCCGAATCTGCGCACTCGCAATTTGGAAATGTCGGGCAACACCGCATGCCCAACATGCACTCAAGAACGGGGCCGACAATGACCCGCAACCCGTCGACGCCCGGCAGCGGGCCCCGAGCCAGTATTGCCCTCCGCTCAACCGAAGCGGGCGCAGCATCTCCCAACATCCCCATTGGCACTGCCATGTCCATCTGGGCATCCCCCTACACCGCGTATGTGTCCAATTCGCCCCGCCCCACCTCTCCGCACCCACCCCTTCGCACACCATCCCTTGATGTCTCAAACGAATGCCCCATCGACGGTCCCCACATACCCCCGCACGCTGGACCAAGGCATTCCCATGCCGCACAACGATGCAAGGGGTCCTCGCTTCGAGACCGCGACAACCACACCATTACAAGATTGCGCCTCTCGCCTGGCGACACCATAAACAATAACAGCAAGCCGTGCGCGATTCGAGCCCTAGTGGTGCCGTACCTCGTGAGCGTCCGAACCTCGTTCGTGCCTTCAATATCACGAGCAACGGCTCAGGCCAGCCATGGGAGCGTCTGACTGGAGACCAATGCCAATGCCTCCTCATGATCATAATATTCCCCCCTTTCCTCCTCCTACCCCGTGCCTCCCCCCTCCTCCTTCTCATCCACCTCCTCTGCCACTTCCCCATTCCCTTCCTGCTCCTCCTCCTCCCCATACAGACTAGGCAAGCGAGCACGCCGCGGGGTTAACATTGGACGTCGGGGTCGTCGTCGACATTGTCGTCGTCAGTATCGTCGCAGTCGTTCGTGATCATGTTCGTGTTCGTCGTCGTTCCGTCGAATTTGTTGTGGGGACTTCGGGGCCGAGGTTCTTCGAAATTCCTGGTCATTCGAAGGGGTCGTCGCCACGCCTCAGCCACCACGCAACAGGAAATCCGCTGACACCTTGTGGTGTCCTCAGCGTGTGCGATCGACTCCCCTGCCCCAGGCACCGCGTCCTGTCGCATGCGCCGCCACGAGGCCGCTAAAGCTGTCCCAGGAAGCCTCCAAAGAAGCGCCCGAGAGGGTACCAGAAGGCCACGCGCAGAGGGGGATAGGGGGAAGGGGGAAGCATTCCTCCCTCCCCAACCCCCGCGTGGCCGAAAAAGACCAGGAGGGCCCCCGACGAACTGTCGACGAGGTCCCCGAGAGGAGCGTCGCCCACTGCACCCCACGTCATATCCAGGGGGTCTCGGGCCCACCACCCGGGCCAAGTGGCGGGATGCGCCCGAAACCAGTGGATCCGCCACCCACTCCTGTCTGCAAGAGGACCTGCTGCCGTGCTACCTGTTGGCCCAGTAAAACCCTTCCACCAGATTCACAATGCAGTACCTGCGCACCCCTCAAGCCACTCGGAAGAATCAAACAAATGCACAAAATTCTCCCCTGCGGCCAAGACGGCACTGTACGGTCTCGAAGATGGTCTCAAGTTACCCCCGAAACGGCCACGATGACCTGATAAGAGCCCAAACTAGCTCCCAGATGCCTCAAAGTTCATTCACCCGGAGTCCCATGGTTGGAATCCAACACGGCTCAACACAAAGAGTTCCGAGACCGCCATCAGGGGCTCAGAAACGGCCAGGATGACCCAATCGCGAACCTCCGGCTCAATCAAGGGGTCGGCGGATGTGGCGTAAGCCTGTAGAGAGTCTTCGTGAGCCTCATCGTCATCATCATCACCACCACCACCATCCTCCTTATAGGCATCGTCATTGTCATCGTCATCGTTATCATCGTCATCAAGCCGCTCCCAACCCTGAAGACACGAGGTGCCACACGTGACAGCCTCCCGTACTCCCTCGAACAGTCGCCACCCAGAATGCTGTGCTAGCCCGGTGGCGGGACTTGCCGCAGGCAGCTGGATGCATGGCTCGAAAATCGTCCTTGGGGAAGAGCAAATCGAAAAAGAAAGAGAAAGAGAGAGAGAGAAAAAGGGAGAAAAAAGGAGAGAGGGAGGGAGAAAGAGAGAGAGAGAGATAGAGAAACAAAACGAGAGAGAGAGAGAGAAAGAGGAAAAGAGTTGACAACTGGTTGCTGCAACTTGTGACAAACCACGGCGCCGCCTTGAACGCCTCGTATTCGTCCACAACCCACTGGAGGTCTTTCCACCTGACCCACTTTGCGCGCGCCACCGTGTCGGAGACCTGAGGCGGTGCTGGCAGGGACCGCACATGACCGCATGGCTTAGCAAAGAGCGCCCAGGCTTTTCCACGAGAGGTTTGCGAAAAAAATACTGGCTCGAACGCGCATCCTTCTCGTCCTCCTCCTCCTCCTCCTTCTCCTCCTCCTCCTCAGCCTCCTCAGCCTCCTCTTCCTCCCCCTCCTCCAGAGTGGACAACAGTAGACGAGCCTGGAATAGACTGCACTGGACTGTGGTGAACTCTACTCCATTATCCTCTACTCTATTCTAATATGTTCTACACGACTCTGATATCTACACTACTCCACTCCTCCATGCTTCACTCTACCCGGCTCTGCCCTGCCCTACCCTGGCTCACCCTTACCTACTCTAGTCTACTCAACATACTCGACTCCTGCTCTACTCTAATATATACTCCGAGTCTACTCTACTCAACTTCGTAGTATCCCCTCTTCTATACTCGGCCCTGTGTTCCTCTGCTCTACTGTACTCTACTCCAGCAGACCCGACTCTGCTCTACCATCATCCTAACCTACTACATGCTGCTCTCCTCTGCACTGCCATACCCTTCCCGACCCTACCCTACCCTACCATACCAATGACAGCCTGATCTACTCCTACTCTGTTCGAGTATACTCCAATGTACTCTCCTCTGGTATACTCTCGTCTGGTCTGCTCTCCTCTGCTCTGTCCTATGCTGCTCTACTCCCTACTCTGTTATACCCGAAACGACGCTGCCATCTACCCTACTCTGTTATACTCTGCTTTACACTACCCCACTCTACTCTATACTCTACTCTACTCTGGCTCAATCTACCCTACACGAATCTACCCTACCGTACCCTAACCTACTGCGCCCGACTCTACTCTACCCAACTCTACTCTACCCCTACCCGCCTCTACCCCACTCTGCTCAACTTGCGTTACTCTGGTATGCGTCATGCTGCTCTACTCTACTTGGCTCGACTCGAACGTATACCCAACTGTAGTTTAGTATGTTCGGTTCTGCCCTGCTCTACTCTACTCTACCCTATCCTAATCTACCCTACTCGACTCTACTCTAATCCTACTCTACTCTACTCTAGTCCTTCTCTACTCTACTCTACTCTTCTCTGATCTCGTCTACTCTAGTCTGATCTGACTTACTCTAGTCTACTCTGCTATGCTCGTATGCTCTTCTCTACTCTACTCTACGTCTGAGATCGACGATTGTGGGACGATTGTTGGAACACCATCGGAATAGCCACAGGAAGCCGTTGGAAGAGCAGAGGTAACCATGCGGATACAGACAGAGAGAGAGAGAGAGAAAGCCACGCGGATAGCAAAGGAAACGATGTGGATACAGAGGAAGTCGTTTGGACAGCAGAGGAATCAATGCGAAACAGAAGAAGTTAATGCGCAACAGAGGACGCCATGCGGATACAGGACGTCATGCGGGCAAAACAGAAAGCTATGCGGATAGCAGAGGAAGGCATACGCAACAGACGAAGCCATGCGCAACAGAGGACGCGTACAAAAGCAGAATAGGGGGGTAGCAGTGGACCGGTTCTCCACGCATTGAGCTGGGACTCCTGTACGCCTAGTTGGAGAAAAGCATACACAGAAGCAAACTTATGCTGGCGAGGGACCCAACCCTGTGCAGGTGTGATCACTGCAAGGCAAGCAGGACGAAGGAGTGGGAAGCCCTGTATGGGACCTCGAAACGTGTGAGCGGTGAAACGAATGGGCCTGGGGACGCATGCGTGCTCTGCCGCTGGGGCCTTCGGTGGAGCTCCCTATGGGGCCACGAAACGTGCGAAGGGTGTGCCGACATCGGTTTTAGGACGCATGCGATGGGGCCACGAAACGTGCGAGGGGTGTGCCGAAACGAGCCTGGGGACCCAGGCGGGCTCTGCCGCTGGGGCCTTCGGTAGAGCTCCCTATTGGGCCACGAAACGTGCGAAAGATGTGCCGAAATGGGCCTGGAGGCTCGTACGGGCCCTGCCGATGGGGCATTCGGTGGAGCTCGCCATGGGGCCACGAAACGTGTGAGGGGGGCGCCGCGTGAGCCTGGGGACGCATGCGGGCCCTGCCACTGGGGCCTTCGGTGGAGCTCCTAATTATGGGGCCACGAAACGTGTGACGGGTGTGCCGAAATAGGTTTGGGTACGCATGCGATAAGGCAACGAAACGTGTGAACGGTGTGCCGATACAGGCCTGAAAACGCATGCCGGCTCTGCCGCTGGGGCCTTCGGTGAAACTCCCTATGGGGCCACAAAACGTGAGGGGGGTGCCAAAATGTGCAGGAGAACGGTATACCCCCCCCCCACTGTGAACCTCTGTGGGGCTCCTATGGGTACACGGTCCACGAATCGTGTGAGGGGTGTGCCGACATGGGAGGGGGGACAGTATACGCCCCGCCCCCCCCCCCACACTACTTTTGTGGGGCACCCTATGAGGCCACGAAACGTGTAAGGAGTGCGCCGAACCGGGCGGGGGGGCCGTATTCGCCCCACCCCCTGGGAGCTTCTGTGGGGCTCCCTGTGGGGTTGTGAAACGTGTGAGGGGTGCGCCTAAATGGACAGGCGGACGGCTGAGGCAGGGATGGGAGGAAGAAGGGAGGAGGGGAAAGGCGAGGAGAAGCGGAAGCGGGGCGCCGCTGATTCACAACGTGGACCGTACACCACCACAGGACGCTTGGGCAATCACCGAAACAACACTCTCGGCGGCGGAAGGCGACGGCCGCCCACCCCGAACATCACGCGCGTGTCCGGCGTGTGCTCCTTTTCCCTCCCCTCCAAGGTGCGCTGCAGGTCCTCGCGCAGGGACAAGCGCAGGAACCGGTGCTGCACCGGCTGCCTGGACTCGAAGAAGTCGCGCGAGACGCGGGTCTCCTGCAGCAGCCCCTGCCAGCGGGCGAACTCTGGCCGGGGGAGCCGACGCTGGGGCCCCTCGGCGCTCGTGCCCTCGACCTTCGGCGACACACAAGAGTGATCTCAGGCAAGGAGTGACCTTTGGTGCGAAGCTTCAGAGGGCCGCGGGAGGCCAAAATCCAAGAGCGCGGGCCAGCGCCGCGTGGACCCCTGTGGGCCCGCACCAGAGGTCACTGCGCCGCAGGACCCCTCTTTCGCGCACCCGAGACCTGCAAGAAGACGGCGCCGCACACGGAGAGGGCCTGCAGCAGCTGGCCCCGGTGCAGGCCCCACAGGTCGAGGCGCGGGATGTCGCCCTCCCAGCAGCGGCTCGGCCACCTGCGGGGCACCGCGGGGTCTCCTCCGCGGCCCTGCCTGGAGGCGCCGCCCGGCCGCACGGAAGAGCTGGAGCTGGCAGTCGCCTCCGCCGCCCAGGCCCCGTCGCTCCAGCCGCCGCCGCCGCTCCAGCCGCCTCCCCAGCCAGCCTCCGCCGCCGCTCCAACCGCCGCCGCGGCCCCGCCGCTCCAGCCGCCGCCGCTCCAGCCGCCGCCGCCCCCGGCGCCCCACCACTGGCTGGCCCTGTGCCGGTCCCAGTCGTTCCAGGGGGGCGCTCCAGCAGCGGCGTCCGCCGCGCTCCAGCTGGGCTCGGTTTCCGAGGCGTACGAGCAGCGCGCCTCGCGGCCTTCCCATCCCCGCCCCGTGGCCTGGGGGAGCAGCATGCGCAGACGGCGTCTACACACCACCGCTGACCTGGCCAGAGCCATCCTGGGCCCTGGCAGGGTATAACGCTTTCCTGGTCGAGGCCAGCAGGAACTATCCACCATCGTAGGGCCCAGGGTGGCCCTGGTCAGGCCAGGCCAGGACTCCGAGACGAGCCGCCGCGGCGGCGAGGGCCCCCTAATTGAAGGGGAGAGGTTGAGAACGAGCGGGAAGGGCTTCGGAATCGTTTCTGTGGCAATGCATGGGAGCTTCCCATGCCATCTTGCTGGCTATGGCGAGTCGACGAGGACGCGCCGCTGGATGACCCCAAGGGGAGGGGTTGGACCCCCCCCCTTTCCCCGATCCGTCGTCGGGAACCCCCGCCCCGCCTTCCCCCTTTTCTCGATCCGTCGTCGGGAAATCCCCTTCCGTTTCCCCCCCCCCCTCTCCCGGTCTGTCGTCGGGGACCCTCCCCCCCCCCTCCCCCCTTTCAAAGGGGGGGGGGGGTCCGGACCCCCCCCCCTCCCCCCCTGGGCCGCCAAATTCGACCCCCCCCCCTCCCCCCCCTTTCGCCGCGGCGCCCCTGGTCTCCAGAACCCGACCCCTAGCACCCCGAACATTAATCCTCACCTTTACCCTAACCCCTAACCCTAACCCCAAACCCAAAACCTAGCCCCAAACAGTACTCACTACTCATTACGCACTACCCACTACCCACAGTTCACTATTCGCTACTCACTACTCACTTCTCACTACTCACGACTCACGACTCACTCCTCACTACCCACGCTTCACTCCCCACGACGCACCACTCACCACTCCCTACTCACTATTCACTCACTGCAAATTACTCACTACACACTACCCACTACTCGATACTCGCTACTCACTGAACACAAGTCGCTACTCACTACTCACTATCACTACTCACTATCCACTACCCACTAATCACAAGTCGCTACTCACTACCCACTAACCACTGTCATTACTCACTACCCACATTTCACTACTCACTAGTCACTGCCCACAACTCACTACTCCCTATCCACTACTCGCTATTCGCTACTCCCTACTCCCTACACAGTACTCACTACTCACTACTCACTACCCGCTACTCCCTACGCCCTACCCACTACCCAATACGCACTATTCACTACCCACTACTCACAACTCACGGCGCTCCCACTACTCACGACTCACTACAACCTACTCCTTACTCACTACTCCCAATTCACCGCTCACTACTCACTACTCATTGCCCACAACTCACTACTTACAACTCACTAATCACTACTCACTACTCGCTACTCCCTACTCGCTACGCACTATTCCCTACTCACTACTCACTAATGACTCCTGACCACTCCCTCCTCAGAACTCACTACTCACAACGCCCTAGTCGCCACTCACTACCCACTACTCCCTACTCGCTACTCATTACTCGCTACTCGCTACTCGCTGCTCACCACTCACTACACACTACTCTCTACTCATTGCGCACTACTCACTACTCATTACTCACTACTCACTCCTCACTATTCGCTACTGTCTACTCCCTCATCCCTAGAGCTTGCTTACTACTCACTATGCACTACTCACTACACATTACTCACTCCTCCCTACCCACTACTCACAATTCCATAATCACTATTTCCTTCCCACTACCCACTACCCACTACTCACTACTCACTATTCAGTAATCTCTACGCACTACTCACGACTACCACTACCCATTACCCATTACTCACTACTCACCACTCACGACTCACTGCGCACTACTCACTATCAAATACCCACACTCACCAATCGCTACTCAAAACACTCTACTCCTTACTCCCTACCCGAGAGGCCCCTTCCCCAGTCTCCTTGTTCGGCGCAAAGGGGGAGAGGGGGGGGGGGTCGAACCCCCCCCTTTTCCAGCGCCAAGGGGGGAGGGGGAGGGTCGAAAATCTCACCCCCCCTTTGACGGGGGGGAGGGACGGGGGTTCTGCGAGCACCCCCCCCTCTTGGGTATTCAGGGCCATCCACTGGCGCGCTTTCCGAAACGACGCCAACTGAAGCTGACCGACGCGAAATCGACGCTACAGCGGCGCTTTCTCACCAACTACCAGGCGCTAGCGCTCGCTGATGCGCCCCGAAAGGCGGAACGACGAGGACAGACGGGGCTCCAGCGAGCTGCCACCGAACCTCCGTGTGCCCGCTGTGCGGGACGCCTGCAAGGCCATACTGGTTTTGTGTGCCTCGGTCGGAGACGCGCGTCCGACCTCAAAATGGAGCACAGGACATCGTCGCCAAGATATCGTCGTCCATCGTCTCCCGAGCGGTATGGCCCGAAGGCGCCCGCAGCGGAGCTCACGCGGCACGAGCTCTGAGCGCGCGCGCCGCCCGTGCGTGGCCCAAGCGCGCACGGCACAGCAGCGGTCCAGGTGGCGCCGAGGGTGTCTTTTCCTCCCCTCGGCGGCCTGCCGCGAGGCGTCCGCGGACCACCGCGCCCGCGCCGCCGGCTGCGCCGCCGCCGGCTCGCACGCCGACCCGCGCGCCGCGCCGCGGTCGTGCCACGGGTGCGCGGGCGACGCCTCGGGGGGGGGGAAGGCGGACTCCGACGCTCGGCGGCGAGCCCCGTGGGGAAAGCGGGGGGGACGGGCCCGCTCAGAAGGCGGCGGGGCCTCTCCTGAGCCCTCGCGCCTTCTGAGGAGTGCCCTGGGCCTTCTCCGAAGACAAGGCCTGGAAACTTCTGAGAAGCCCCGCCTTCCAAAGGCATACCCCCTTCCACTTGCCTCTGGGCCTGTCGCCGAGAGACGGACTCCGACGCGGTCGGACGCCCCCCTGACGCCAGCAGCGAAGCGATGAGGAGGGGTGGAACCGAGGGTAAGGGACGAGAATTATCATCAGGATCAGGCGTTAGGGGGTCGGCCTCGAGGGCTAGGCATTCGTGGAACCCCTGCGAGCACATGCGGATGCCCGTGATTGAATTGGAGCAGACCACCGATGCATCCCAGGGGTCCCAGGAAAAATATAAGTGTCCCCAGAGGGGCGAAAGGGAAGAGGGAATGCGAACCACCGATGCGTATTCGCCTCAGCACGGGCTCCGAACAGTATCCCGCAATGCTAACGCGACGTGTTCGTTGTCGCCCTGCTTCCACAAAGACCACACGAATCGCTGGTTCGAACAGGCAAGCCCTCAGCCTCTGAGGCCACCCTAACTTTACGCTTCGTGCTTCGCGCTGCGCCCTGCGCGAAGCGCGATTATCTTTGCGCCAGGAAGGGGGGGGGGGGAATGTCGACCTGGAGTAGGTAGTACATCGCCGATAGATCGGCGATAGGCCCCCGATGGCGGATCCGCACAATCCTTGGCGGGGTGGGGCTATCAAGCCCCTTATCGGCGATCAATGGACGATTGGAACTCGACGCGTCCCCCCCCTTGAGCCTGTCCCCCACCCCTAACGCGTCGTTGGAGTCGCCAGCTGGCCCGCGCCTGCGACGCCTGCTGCGCCATGAGCGCCTCCTCCTCCTCCTCGGCCTCGCCCCCGCCGGTGCCCAGCCACTGCTGCGCTGCCTTCGCCTCTGGGAGCGGAGGGGGCAGCAGCCGCGGCAGCGGCGGGGCGGCGGCGGGGGCGCAGCCCCGCGGCCCAGCCAGGAGCGGAGGCGCAGGGGCGCGGAAGGGAGCGGGGAGGACACGCGGAAGCTCCCGGATCCCCAGCGGATCTCCAGGGATTCCTCCGGGATCTGCTCGGATCCCGCGCGGGTCCCTCTGGATTCTGCAGGGTTCGGCTGGCGGTTCCCCGGCGGATCCCTGGAGATTCCTCCGGGATCTGCTCGGATCCCCAGTGGATCCCCAGGGATTCCCCACTGATCTGCTCAGATACCTCAAGGATCCCTTGGGATTCGCTGGGGATCGCTCGCCGCAGTCCGCTGCACCCGCCGCGCGCCTTCGGCTTTGGCGCGCAGTCCTCCGCGAGGAGGACGTCCGGGCTCCTCCCGTGCTTCCGGTCGTCAGTCAGCGAGCACGCTCGATCTCACGCTCTTCTCGGGGGGCGGTCGACGTGGCATCTCGCTATGGTCCACTGGCGACACACTCTGCATCGCAGATACGCACCTGCACCGCGCACTCTCCGTAAACTGCGCCCTCCCGTCGCCTCCTCTCAGGGCGGGCCGTTGCAGTCAGCATCGCTTCGGACCCGAGTTCTCCTGGTATGCTCCAGTTCTCTTCGCATACTCCTGCTCACACTCTTCCTGACGCTCTGCCTCGCATCCTCGAAGTACACATGATTCCCCGATGTTCATCGCTCCACTACGACTCCTCATACTTACATCCATGTTGCTTACTGATGTATGCTCCCACTCTGTCACCCACGTGTCGTCTTCTGTGTTGTCGTCGCTATCTTTTTCTGCGTACCCCTCCTCACCCCCCACAGACATGATCGAGGCAGCTCCTGCTACGCTGCGCAAGGCAGCCGCAGTAGCCAGGCAGCAAAGCTTCTAAGCCATGGCGAAGGGCTTGCATACGCCGGCGGCCTCCACACGCGGGCGGGGCGGCGGGTCTGGAAACCGGGGGAAGCGCCTCGGGAGACGAGAGAAAGCAGGGGGAGAGAGAGAGAGAGAGAGAGCGACTGTGAGCCTGCGAGGCACGGCCCAGCTCTGCAACGCCGCCCTCTGTGCGGGCTCCAGGAACGTCGAGGCCGCGTCTGAAGCGCCAGGCTGACGGCTGGGGCCACGGCTGCGCGCCGGAGGAAGGGGCAGAACAAGACAACAAGAGGACCTTACGAGGGTCCACGAGAGCCCCAAGAGAGCCTGGACTGTGCCGCACCAGAGCCCCAAATGACCCCGAGCAAACACCCCAAACAGCCCCAAAACAACCCAAGACAGCCCAGATATCCCCCCATGAAATCCGATCAAGGAATAGAAGCGATCAAGGGAATCCGATCAAGGATCAATGGTGTCAAATGTTACCGCCGCCTTCGGTGATCGAAGCGTCGCCTCCCAGAGCGCTGCGGTGGCACGATGGCGGAACTTGCCTAGGCACCTGGAAAGCGAAACGATTTTTTGAGAACACCGCGCATGCACCATTCGCTCCCGGCGATAGCAGGGCGATTGCAGAAGATGGGCTCCGCAGTGCGCGCGCAGTAACTCAATGTTGGTTCAGCGACTGCGCAACATAGGAGTGCGCAGAAGTCTCGCGCAAAGTCACGCTGAAGGCGACCGAGAAACCCATACAAAACGACCATTTGATAACTTTGAGTTGCACATGATCGCCAACATTGCTAGATTGCACCAGGGACCACTGCCATCGCCATGGTAAAAACATCTCGCCCGTTGGTCAGAAAGCACGCTTCTCCTTCTCATCCTCCTCCTCGTGTCCCTTCAACCTCTCACCGACTCCCTAAAAAGCAGCCTCCGTACCTGCCTGGGAGCCTGCTTTGACCAGACTTTCAAGGCGAATCTGGCCGCAGCAAGGAGGGCCCGCCCGAAAGGCCCAGGACATCCAAAAAACGTTCAATGAACCCTGTTTCTCCTTCTCCTCCTCCTCCTCCTCCTCCTCCTCCTCCTCCTCCTCCTCCTCTTCCCTCTCCTCCTTCCCCTCCTCCTCCTTCTCGTCGTTCTCTTCCTCCTGCAGCCCCCTCCTCCTTGCCCCTCCTCATCGCCCCTCCGGTGGCAGTCGCTCCCGCGGGGTCTGCGATCAAAGGCGGGCCACGAGATTCGCGTGGCTCGCCCTGGTGGTCGCATCCCGCCTAAATGCTGCTGGGCAAACGGTCTTTTGAATCAACGCCACGCAACACGAGCTTGGTGAGCGTATTCGCTGAGGGTGCCACGCTGCGCGCATCGGCGAGACTTACGCCGCAAAAGAGGCCGAGGCTGCTACAAATCCGAACGCATGGATGGGGAGGGAAGCCGGCAGAGGGAGAAGAAGAGGGGAGGGAAGAAGAAAGGATGAGGGACGGGCCGGAGAAGCAATAATCGAATCGATAAGTCAGATCGGCTATCGGCATGGATCGGATCGGCGGAAATCGGCAGCTAAGTCGGCAAAAGTCAAATCGGCGGGAGTCCACAGGCAAGCAGGCCTCCATCGAGAAATCGGAGCCGAAAACGGAATTCGTAGTCGAATCGAATCGGAATCGGAAGCCATCGAAATCGATTCGAATCGAGTGGGAGGAATCGAAACGAGCCCTGGGGGAGGGGAGGGCAGAGACTGGGGCGGCGGTCGCGGGGGTAGGGGCCGAAGGGTCGCTGCACGCAGAAGCAGAGGTGCAGGCTCCGAGGCGGACCAAGACCTCCGACGCCACGGCGTTTGTGGAGCACGAAGCGGCGTGAACATCCTCCTCCCTCCTCCTCCCC